GAGCATGTAGAACGGTATGCTGCGGTTCAAAGGGCGCAAATGCACCATATCGGCAAATTGCATTGCACCGGGTCTGGCGTGCAGTGACGACTGTCTAACTGTCTTGCGGTACTGTAGCTGGCTCGCCATGGTAGTGTGTATCACGGCCGAGGTGTGGGTGCATAGCTAGCCTCACGGGCTGGTGCGGCATGTGTCCGGACAACGTCGGGAGTATCTCGGGNTCCCAAAAAGATAGATGCAAGCAAGATGGAATTTGATCTTTTCTGCGGTCTTTGAGGGCAATTCGTAAAAGCGAAATATCAAATTCCTAAAGATCCCGCGGTCTTCGGCGCTCGGGTGGATGAAAAAGATCGAAATCAAATCGAATTCCGATGTTCGCAAACACCCCAATGATAGAAAGAAAAGAACAGGTATCGCACCGACCGTTCGAGAAAAGAGCCCTCGGAAACCGATATAAAAAAAGAGACAAATAAATAAATAAAATGAAGGACAGGAGGACGCTTCCCACACCCGCTTAAAAGGAAAAATCAAAGGGTAACGTACCAGCACCAGGCACTGCGCACCAGGGCATGGGAGTAACAGAGCAAACAGGACAAAGAGGCGGCAGATGCCAGACGTACAAAACAAAGGCAACATCAAGGCGAGATCAAGGTACCCAACACAGCAGAGTAGGCAGGGAGGTCATGAAGAAAAGAAACACAACACGGAGGCCGAAGGCAATAAAAAGGACATACATAAAGGGTAGACTATAGCATACAGCATGGAGGGAAACAGGGCGCAACAACATCAGCCGGGTACATAGTTCGCCACAAGTGCTGCCTCGGCCGCCCTACTCGCTTCTACACCAGTGCCCGGTCGCCGTTTCTTCCCCCCCACCGCCGCTTCCCCGGCTCTCTTCCTCTTCGGTCCTGAGATCGCCGTACTCTGCTTCTGCTTCCCTCGCGCGCTGGCGCTTCGCGGACGTGTTGTTTTTTGCTTTTGTTTGTTTTTCTCCCATCATTGGACTCTGTCGTCTGCCCCTCTGGCCCCTATCCTCCACTTCTACTAGCTAGACGACCCAACCGGGGTCACATAGGAGGGGGTGGTTGGACCCCCTCCTGCGGTTCATGCCTGAGGCATTTCTATCGCGAGAAGGGTACAGCAATCCCTTCCCTCGCGACTTAGGAGGATTCTTAACGATTTTTCGGTTTGTTGGAATATGCCGACTGGCTTTCGGAGAAATCCGAACGGACCGCCTGACGTTTCTTAACGTCAGGCGGTCCATTTTTTGAATTTCTCAGACTTTTCGGTTTGAAAACGTACAGCATTTACACACCACAGCCTTCAGGCAGGCGGCAGCGCCAGCGTACAAACATGCAGAGCGACGAGAACAGCGGACCTACCGGCGGCAGGCCGCCGAGGGGCCATCGCCGACCCGCGAGATACGACAACACAGGCGAAAGTGGTGCTGCCTGTGGTCATGGGTTGGGTCATGGGTTGCAGCAGTCTGCTGCCGCCGTTGATGATGACAACGGCCGCGGCCGCGACCCTCTCCCGAGCCACGCCTCTCGCCGGCTGCGCGTGGCCGCCCCCGCCGCTGCCGTAGAAGCGGAGGGTTCGCGATGCCCCCTTACGATGCTGTCGCAAGCTGCCGGGGTCGCCGGGTTTGCTACCACGACAACCACCGCAGCAGCCATCGCCCGCATCACGGAAAGCGGGTTCATCTCCAGGCTGCGACGCTTTCGCCGCCTTTGCTCCGCGAAATCTGCAGATCCACAGCGCTTTCCGTGACCATCCATGGTCTACAAGCTTACAGGCGACACAAGCAAGCCACCTGGGGACTGTCCCCGAGATCTGGAGTGCGAGAGGGTGCTCAGCGTGCTGGCGACTGCAGTGCAACTCGAGTGCTCCCATTTCGGAGTCATTTCGGAGTTTCTCTTCGGAAAATGCCGAAAATGAAGCGGCGCCCGAAAAATTCCGACGCTTCATTTTCAGCATTTTCCGACAAGAAATCGGCATTTTCCGAAAAGTAGGGCGCATGTCGGCATATTCCAACAGAACAAATCTCGTTAAGAATCCTCCTTACTACGAAGTCGATTATGGTTTACTAACAAACGAGCCTTGCAGCGCGTCGCTTTCATCCTAGCCCAGGATTTATTTAGTAAGAAAAAAACTCTCTCTGTCGGGACTCGAACCCATGACCTGGCCCTTAGTAGGCTGCGAGGCTACCCACTAGACCACCGGGGCGACCCACGTGTGTGTTCGCATGAATGCAGTATATGACAGAAGATAACACACCCCCTGGACCAATTTTTAAAGCTCGATTACTCCACGACGAAGAAGAGGCAGAAATGAAACAATGCATTTTCGGAAAGCTCTAGACGAGACACCTTTAACTCTACCGTTTTCCGCGCTGTAACTATTTCTGCTGTCGAGAAATCGAGATTTGAAAATCGGTTCAGGGGGTGTGTTATCTTGTGTCATTCACGGTATGGCTCTGGGTCAACCGGAGCCGCCGAGAGATGAATCAACAACAAGTTTCCTCAACAGCTATCTGTCCTTTCCCTTCCTCGACGACATCCGCAAAGACAAGCAAGCATCCATAAGAGGCAAGAACCTCGAACCTAGCGCAGATTCTTGGTAACGCAGAGCCGCACTGCTCTGCATTTGATTAGGTAATAGGGTCATCGACAGAACCCAAGTACCAAGTTAAAAGTACAGTAACAGCAGTACCACGCCAAAGGAACGCACCCAACCGCAATATGGTTCGGCGCGGTGGTACGTTTGCCGCTTTGGGCCTATTCGTCTATACTGGAGAGGTCGACAGAATCAGGACGTGGCGAGAGTCCTTGCATTGTTGTCACGTCTTCACCCAGATATTGCAATGGTAGGCGCACACTCAAAGCGGGTAACCGCAAGGCCGAGAATGCGCAACACCTTCTTTTGGTCATGTCGCTCGATCCGGCACGAAAAGTGGGCAAACTACAGCAGAACATCAATCTTCACCTTTGCTCGGGCGCCTGAGCGGCAGCAGGTGGTGGTGTGACAGCAGAGTTTCGTCTTCACTTCCGTACTGCTGTAGTACGTGATGCGAGCTAGACTACCACACTCAGATCGCAAGGTTCATGTTGCCCCGGCGTGGTCGGTCGCAAAAGGCATGCGTGTATGGTTCATCGAAACATCGAAACGGCCACGGGATGGCTACCGTATATGACACAAGATAACACACCCCCTGGACCGATTTTCAAAGCTCGATTTCTCCACGAAGAGGATGCATGAACGAAACGATACATTTTCGAAAAGCTCTCAACGAAACGGTTTCAACGCCGCCGTTTTCGGCACTGTGACTGTTCCTGCAGTTGAGAAATCGAGCTCCGAAAATTGGTCAAGGGGGTGTGTTATCTTGTGTCATATACGGTACAACCGCTCTGACCTGGGCTGGTGGCCAAGTAAGACGTACGACCAGAAAAATATCGGAACAAAAAACAGCTCAGAAAAGCACACTACACTGCACTACACACCAAGGGGTCATGTTTCGTGGTCCACGGGTCACATTCCCGACAAGAGCGAAATTGTTGTTGCAGCAAGAGAGTGGTTGGTTGCTAGTGGCCCTAAAGATTGTTCGTGAGGTGGATAATGCCGAGATAGAGCGCAGTCATCCGTGCTGGAGTGCACAATTCGATTTTGTCATACCATCCGGTGTACGGCAGTCGCGTGTAGACTCAACTGGATCATTGACTCTCGTGGCGTCTTGAGGGGCTGGTCTTTGCGGGTTGAATTCGCAGGATCCGAGGCTACAGTATGCGCAAGGCATGGCAATAAGAACACCGCCAAACATCTCCCCTGACGATCCTCTGATGCCGTCAACAGCCTGAGTGGGCCACGTTGTCTAGTCGATGCTCACGTTTCTCCCACGAGTGGATACGCACGGCCCGATCGGTGACGGTTCTCGCGCCGGGCGAAGGGGCTGACCATCGCGCCAGACGTGGGAGCTACCACCAACAACATTTTCTAGAAATAGCCTTTATTTCGTCGACAGACATCGCGTGGATGTCCTCGCCTTGAGGGTGCAGGCTGCAGCGCGCACAACAGAGTGGAAGAAATAAGCGCTCCACACCCTTGGAAGCGTGTCGCCCGGAGCTCGACTAGCCATCGTGCTGGTCGCACGGGTATGCTTTGCTGCCTGGTCAGCGTGTGGATAGAGTGCAGTTAAAATATAAACACAGCTTCCCCCAAATCATGTATGTGTGGAGAACAACACGCCATCACTCCTGTTTGTTGTGCTCTGCACCGGGGTACATACACGTTGCCAACGGCGTACACAAGCCCCACACTGTGTGCAGCACGCGTTTCCCCGTCCCAATCGAACAATACGGCGCGATCCCGCTTCCAATGAAGTTTTTCTCGCCCCGGATTACACGATGCAGGGCGCGAACGACAAGATTTTCGGCGAGTTTGAAGAATGGAAAGGGACCCCGCGCCGATGCAGCCGCGGCGACAACGACGGTGACTGCCAAGACGAGGCCGTCGGCCCAGCCGACCTGTCGCGGTGCTATTGGCCGTGGCTGACGTCGCTGCCTCTTCTACCACGACGGCCGTTCTCGCCGAGGGTACCGCCGGAGAAGCGACTGACTTTGGAACCAGTCGGGCGGTTGCTGCTGCTGTCGAGGCTGCAGCAGGGACAAAAAGGAGCAGGAGCGGCGCCCGTGGGCTGGCTCTGAGTGGGAGCAGCAGCGACGGAGCATCGCAGGTTTCCGGGGACCACGAGCAGTACTCCTCCTCCTCCGGCATCGCGCCCTCGGCCCACGACGACGGCACTTATTCGCTGTCGTGCTTGGGGGAGCGGTCCTCGTGGCTCGGGGACGGGGAGTGCGACCGTGCGTTGAACACTCCAGCATGTAGGTTAGCCAGTCGTCTTGCGCGGCATAGATGGTGACCAACTTGTGCGGTGGGGTTGGTTTTGGTTTGTGTCCGCTGTATTTTTTCTCGTACCATCCTCCTGCTTAACCCCTCCTGTCCGGCTCTCTCCTCCGTAGCACATGTGCCCTCACACGCTCGCCATTTCTTACGACTGCGGGGGGGTTCGCTGAGTGAAGCGGTCTTGAAAGTCAAACCCAGAGCGGCGGGGGTCGATTATACCTGACGTCGGCTCGTCGATTTCACTTGCCCAACATTGAGTTGGCGATTTCTCCGGAGAGTATTGGTTCAGCCGCCTGACAATCGCTGATTCTCACAAGAAGCACCCTACGTGCCCTTCCATTCCCCATCCCTGCCTCACGCGTTGCAACAGTTACGATGGCGGCGACTGCTGCCAGCAAGACGAGGATTGCGCGGAGAACTGCATCGACCCGGTCGCTCTCGCCGCCTCCCCCTGTCCGGAGGAGCAAACAACAGCCTCCTCGGCCTCCTCCTCGAACTCAGACGTCGCCGCCGCGTCGCCGTCGCCGTCGCCGCCGCCGCCGCCGGCGTTATCGGCGTCGCCTTCGCCCTCCCCGGACGGGGCTGGGAGTGGCAGGCCGACGGCCTCGAAGGTGGTCATCGGGCTCGAGGTGGCGTCGTCATCCTGGCGAGCGTGGCCTTCCTGGGGGTCAGCTACTCCCGCCTGGCCAAGAAGAAGGAGGAGGCGAAGGCAGCGGAGGTAGCCGCGAGATTGGCGGACGGTGGCAGCGCCGCCCGCACCGTGGAGTCTTCCCCCACCGCCGGGGCTTTCCCCGCCGCCGCTGAGGTCTGACGTGCTGGTGGGAGGCTTGTATGTGTTTATTTCTTGGCTCGGCGTGTCCGGTGTTGTCTTCCTGAGGGAAGGGAGCATCAGTGGTACCTCGTTTTAGATTTTCTGCATATGTCGGTGCTTCTCCGTTTTCGCGACGAGGGGGCCGAAGCAGCAGTAGAAGGTGCCCCCAACGCCTCCGGTGCTACTTGTACAGTGAGTTGGCGGTAGCCGTCTAGTCTACCTACCGCCTTCGCCGAGACACGGTGGCCGCTGGGGTCCTCCGTGGGGTTGGTCGTTTAATTCGGGTCTTTTGAAAATTTGTTGGTCTCTCTGAGGGGTTGGGGTATACGTCACCGTTCCACATCGTGTTTTTATTTGAGAATGGATATTTCTCGGAGTATATATTAATGTTGTATTGTTTATTTCAGTTTCCGAGGGACAAAATATATTTGGATTTTAGGATTGTTTTTTGGACTTATTGGTGCATTTAGAATCAATTCACGCGTTGGTTGCAAGTTCCTCCCGGTAGGCGTTCACTCATGACTTTGTTTTACGGCAAAAACGAGTTGTCTAGAGCGCACAGGGGGCGGCGGAAGCTGTATTTTCAGGCCCACGCATTTATTTCGAGGCTTAGAAAGCACAGGCATGGATTTGTTTGCTTTAGATGGGACTGGGTGGGGTGGGACAGGCGGCGCAGGCTGTCTTTCAAGATAGGTGCCTGTGCTATCCTATTCTATCGTTTGTCGTGTTGTGGGGGGCGTTGGAGGAGTGCACTTTGTAAGTTTTTTGGGGGCCGCATCATGGCGCGCGCAGGACATGTTCCAACTCCGAGGCAGGGATCGATCCTCCTCCTATCTTGTTGCGTGTTTTTGGTGGTAACAGGTTTTACTACGTGCAGAATAACAAGAGGGAAGGAGAGAGGGAGACAGCGAGAAAGAGAGAGAGAGAGAGAAAGAGAGAGAGAGAGAGAGAGAGAGAGAGAGA